AAAAAAAAATATTTCCAATAAAATATGATGATCAAAATACCCCTGAAAATTTTAAGGGGTATTTTGATCATTATATTTTATCAAAAAATTATTTTTAATATTTTTTATAGGTGCACCCTAATGATAAGATGACACGTACCAAATTTCATATTCATACAATTTGTATAAAAAAACTAAAAATAAAATATTTTGAGACGTTGGATCTAAGATCAAACGGTGAGTGGCTCTCTTGATTAAAATTTGACCGTTGGATGGTAGGGGAAGCATAGATCTTCTATACTGTAGGGGGAGTATAGAAACCTTTCCTTTTTGTTTAACTCTCTCTTTCTTTCTTTTTTGTTGTTTTTTTTTTTGTAGTAGTTGATTTGGCATTTGAAGTATCAAACCAAATTTTGGATTCTCTCTTTTCTTGTGGGTACATAGAAAGGGAGATGGTGATTAATATATACATATATATAATGCCAAGAAAGCGGCACAGTGTGAAAGAACCCATACTTGAAGTGTTGGGCCTAAACATAAGGTAATGGGAAATTATATCATGTCACCATGTCATCATAGTGGAGTGATTTCATGCAATAGTTGTATAATAATATAATGAAGCTATTGGGTTAGTGTAGCCATTATGAGAGCTTGTAATAAAAATTTATGGAACTTAAACTGAATGGGAGTGTGGTCCTATATAGATTATGCTATGCAAATGTTATTTGTCTTAACTCATATTAGACTTTGCTTGTTAGGCCAGTTGAGTTAGAAAACCTTTGATTCCTGGGCATAGAATAAACATCAACGAGGGTTGATGGGTTATCCCTTGATGAAGTCGGAGTTGCCTAGATGAATGAGCCAATGGACTGTGTGTGTGATGGTTGGTCTTTAGAGACGATGACCAAAAACCTCGTCATTAATCCATCACACGGCATGTGCATATGATGGCTATATTGGAAAGCAGTTCATCATTGAGGATGATGCATGCACATGTGCGAGAGATCACCCATATGCACCATAGAGCTGTGGTTGCATCAGGTCTGTGTGATATTAGAATTTGTCTTTAGGGAAGAACCTGTAATCCATAGACTGCTATTATATCTCATTGCTTATTGGCTGACTTTGGTAGCCCAATCATGAGCTACTGCATTCGATTGTCGGTCACGGGCACTACTGGATTAGTTTGATAAAAGAAGTGTGGATTATGGTCTACAGTAGAAGATTGAGTCCCTTATAATTATTAATTCATAAGCTGTGATGATCCTATTCCCATCAATTTTATTTTCTTAGATATTGATTAATTGTAGAATAGTTATTTTAAGATTTTAAATATTTTTTTTTGTTTGTAAAATATATTTATCAAAAATAAATTAACAAAAAATAAAATCAATCTTTTTTAATATTTAATAATATGGGCTCATAGGGGGTCCAATGGACCTATTATGTTTTGCATGGGGGGACACACTATGTGACCCTTTGTGGCACGCCACTTTTAATGGGGCCAAGGGGTCACGCCCCACTGTGTAGGAGCTTCCTATTTTAACCGAGGTAGGTGCCATTTAACCAAATCCATTTTTGAATAAAGCCACCACGCCAAATTTTGAGGGGGCAATTGGGGGTTACTTATCACCCCCATGATATCACATTTAATTTTGATTTCAAATTTGGAGATATCCCTTAAGACCATTTGTTTGACCCAAAATTTTAAAATACACTCTTTTCATTTTAATGCACAATCACAAAAAATAAAAATTTCAAAGCACAACCTATAAAGTGTTTTTTTAGCCAAGTTAACATAGGTCGTCCATTTTGGTGAGATGCTTAGATCTAGGTATTTGAAGGATCTTTTTCATTTCCAATATTTTTAGATAACTTTATTGTCATTCGATCAACAATGTTAAAAAAGGAAAAATTGATTTTGAAATCATAAAGATCTAGATATTGAAATTCACCAAATGGATGATCTATGTTCATTGTTGGAGGGGACTCATTTTGGCTATATAAAGTACAAATTAAATATTATTTTTTTTGATAT